TGGGCCCCTGGAGATCAGGAAGGGTAGAGAGCATGGGCTGGACCCTAAAAAAGGATATGATAAAGCTTGGTCAAGAAACTCAACTACCTTGGACTGACACTGCCCCTGGCTCTCTGGTGGGTACTCTATGCCCCTTGGTCCAAGACGGGATCCTCCCCTTTTGAAATCTTATAGGGGAAACTCCCTCCCCTGATGTTACTAGGAGAAAAAGTTAGAGAGGTGGGAAGCTTAGAACTTCATAAGCAAATGCAGGGTCTCGAAAAAACTATGCAGAAAGTCCATAGGTGGGTAACTGACAGGATCCCAGTCTCACTGGGAACAATGTTACACCCATATGAGCCAGGAGATTAAGTCGGGGTAAAAGATTGGAAAAAGGAGCCCCTTGAACCTACTTGGAGGGGACCCTACCCAGTTATACTAACCATCCCAACAGCTCTTAAAGTTGCAGGTATCGCCCCGTGGATTCATCACACCAGAGTAAAGAGAGAAGCACCACCGCGAGACGAGGATGTCTGGTGAATCAACCAGGACCTCGAGGAACCACCTGAAATCGGGGCCAGAGACTCCCACCTCACCTGCCAGAGAGCATCAAGCCTTGCTCTAGCCACACCCGGAAGCTGGCTAGTCAATGCACAGCGAAAGCCTGAGGAGCCACCAATCAAGACATAAAATGAACTGCTGCCCTTACTTTATTAATGAGTATTGTTACTATATTGCTAGCTGTAGGACTGACAGCCACTGCACCCCAGGATTGGAACATAGGTCAGAAACTAATACTAGCTGTACTCTCTCTACAATAGAAAGCCTAATGGTCAGTCAGTGTCTGCTAATAGAAACCATCCCTCCCTGTTAGAAAAAATGAAACCCCAAACCCTTCTTCTGCTTGTAAAAGTAGTTGTTGACATATCTCTTTCAATGACGGGGGTTCCAATGGGACCCATTTCACCAAGTTGCATTTGGCAAGGACTGCCCCAGAAAAAATCCCCGGCCCCCACGCTCAGGGCCCTTCTATAGACCTAGTAAGGATTGGGAAAAGAAAAATAGACCTAGGTCCACGCCTTATAACCAGGACCCCCAGTTAAGTCCCTTATTAAGCAAGGTCCATCACCTTCTTGATGCTGCTAACCCACAACTAGCAAGTGATTGCTGGCTCTGCCTGTGTCCCGGCCCCCTCCAGCATGCAGCCAGCCCGATAGGTCTCTCAGATCTAAGCAAGTTTAATGGCTGTCCTGGGTAGTCCCCAGACTCCGCAGACGTAAGCCCCAAGTCAGTTAATGTACAGTTGGCCCACACAGCTCCCGACTGCATCTATAACTTGGGGACAGAACATTCTGTAGGAAATCTGGCCACTGCCCAGTGTGCCCAAACCCGTAACTGCACAACTGTTTATGGTTGTATGCCTGCCAAACTCATGCACACTGAGCCCAGGATGCAGGGCACATGCCTACCAGTGCCTGCCAGCCAGTTGGACAGGTACTTGCACATTGACCTTCCTTGCCCCTCAGATGGACATAATACCTAGTAACCAGAGCCTTCCTGTACCCCTGATGACCCACACTCAATCAAAAAGGGACATCCAGTTAACGCCACTACTCATTAAGCTAGGAATAGCAACTGGAGTGGGCACACATACAGGAGGAATAGCCTCATCATCCTACAATTACCAGCAGTTATCTGCTGAGGTCATCGAAGATTTAAAGCAAGTGGCTGAGTCCTTAAGGACTCTACAAAACTAGCTGGACTCCCTAGCAGCAGTAGTCCTACAGAACAGGAGGGGTTTAGACTTGCTCACCGGCGAAAAGGGGGGATTCTGTCTCTTCCTAAATGAGGAATGCCATTTCTATGTAAATCAATCAGGAATTGTCAGAAATATGGCCCAATAACTACGAGATCGAGCTGAACGCAGAAACCAGGAATTAGAAAAATTCCTGGGCACAATGGAATAACCTCTGGAGTTGGGCCTCCTGGCCCCTCCCTCTAGCAGGCCCCCTCCTTAAGATCCTTCTAGCACTGCTGTTTGGTCCCTGCATCCTTAATCTCATTACCTGTTTCATTAGCTCACGAATAGTCACTAAGGCTACAGCTACTAGTTACTCAGTACAGGCCCCTGGACCAGGAAGAGCCCAATGATGAATAAGGAGCACCACTCTAAAGGTTGATGCTAACTACACATGTTAATGAGAGCATCAGAAGGGGGGAATGAGGTGAAAAGTCCCATAAAAAGACAGGCAGGACCCCCAGGCAGGGCCACTACTCTCCTGCCAGCACCATCCGGTTCCCTGGCCCAGAAGCTCTATCTCACTTTTTGCCTCTGAAATGGCTTACTTACCCCTAAAATTCTATTGGTTCCTTGAGCTCACTTCTGATTGGTTATTTCCTTCACTCCTGATTGGTTATTTCTCTCACTCCTGATTGGTCCATTTCTACAAAGCTTGTTCCTAATTAGTCAACTTTCACTATACCTCATTTGCATATGATGTTGCAAAGTGTAAACTAGCAGTCGATAAAAGCCTACAGACGGGGTACAGAGTGTTAACTCCGCTGGGCCTGCTGGCATGATAAACCTGAGTTCTCCAACTCTCCAAGTGCTGCTTGGTCTCTCGTCCGGATCCAGGTTGCTGTCACAACTGAGCTGAAACACTGAGCTGTAATACCGAGCTATAACACTGAGCTGTAACACATTTTTCCGCAACAAAACTACTTTCAAATCTCTGGTCTATAAGGATTTTTAATTTTTTAAAAAATATTGTGACTATATTCTATTCCATCCAATCCAAGTGGTAAATTTTAAGTTCTATATACAATGTGTAGACAAGAAACAGCATAACTATCAATATTAAGATCGGCAAACAATACCAGGTTCTTTCATACATTATCTCACTTAATTTTAAACCCTCCTTTGATGTATCATTATTCTAAGTTAATATAGCGCTTATAGGGTATACCATAGCTCTTATAGAATAATTTGGAAGTGCTCTCTAAACAATAACAGGCATGCTATTTAAAAAAGGGAAATTTAATAATTTACCCTAGGTGCAATGTAAACACTTATAAATAATGCCACTTTGATGCTTTCTCCAAAATGTGAAGCCAAACAGATGGACATGCTTTTAAGTATATCACTGATTCAACTAAACCAGACTAAAACGAATCTTGAATGATAGTGAATGTATTTATTAAGGTGTTTCAGAAGTTTTAAGATACAAAGGGAACATCTATCCATTAAAAGACATGAAGGTCAAATTGTGAACATAAACAGGTAAAGACTGAAGAATTGTCACAGATTGGGAGAAACTAAGCAGAAATAACCTGTAAATGTAATGTCAGATCCTGGATTGGATCCTGGGACAGAGACAGGGCATCAGTGGAAAAACGGATGAACTCCAGATACACCTGTCATTTAGTTAACAGTACTACACCAAAGTGAATGTCTTGGTTTTGATAACTGGACTTTGATTCTATAAGATGAAAACATTAGGGGACCCTAGATGAGGGGTGTGCGAATCCTCTGTACTATTGTCACTTTTCTGTAAGACTAAAATTACTGCAAAATTTATTTTTAAAGTTAAAAAAAAAGACGTGAAGGTCAAATTGATAAACATTTAGCTTCTTTACAAAGCGGTATTACTACATTCAATATCTCCCTCTTCCTCTCTCTCATCCTTCTTCAACCAGCCACCCATTTACCATTATTCTAACCACCACCCCATGCTGCTCAGCCCTGCATTAACCTGTCTGCATCACAGAGAATGGTCTCAGTGCAAACAAGTAGGTTGTGCAAAAATTACACTATTTCAAATCCAAAGTTAAGAAAAAAAGTGAGATAAACAGGAAAACATTAAAACCATTTTCTTAAATGCAGAACACAAAGGACAAATGTAGCTTGCATAGCCTATCTTGTTTTCTGATCACTAACTTCACCAAAGAGGAAGTCCAAAGAGTGAATGTAATTGCTAATGGTAAAAGCAGCATTTTACAAGAAAAAGAAAAGGAAAGGAAACTTCCTTTTTGTATACAGCCATTTTTAACAGTGGAAGAAAGTCTGAGCTGCCTCTCATCCTAGAATCTAGGAGAACTGTTCGGATGAACACTGACTTGGGACCAAAAACTCCTGAACACCTCAAGCTGACCCACATCATCCCTTTTCTTAGATTCTGATTTCGCACCCTTGTTGCCCTTGCTCCACTGGATCATCCCAGCCTTTCTTCTTGTTCTAATTCCAGACCTGTATTCTCTGCCTTCTCCCTCTCTTCCCATCCCAATCAAACTGACTCCTCTCCTTCCCTAAGGCAAAAACAAAAACTTCTCACCACTCTTCTGTAGGAGGTTGGCCTCCCACTACACTCTTACACACACTCAAGTTGAAGTTCTCCCAGCACCATTTCCCTTTCTCAGTAAGGAAAGCCTCCCCTGCAGCTGGCCTGCTCAGTCTCCTCACGTTTAGGACCCTCCTGGCAGACTCTTTCCTCACGCCTAGATCATCCTCCAAGCGCCCTCAATTCTCAGCCCCACATCTCTGCCCCCTGCAGACTCCTTACCCCTTCAAAAGTCCCTCCTTTTCAGATATCCAATTCTTTCTTTCTCAGAGCCTTGCCTCCCAGACTCACGCCCCCCTCAACCACTTCCCCATCACACCCACCCTCCCCTCAGACAACAACCTCCCCTGACGGGCCCATGGCCCCTTCAGACCGCCTCGCCTGTCAGATCCACACCCCTTCCCTGGATCTGCCTTTCCCATCAGACTCACGCCTCGCACCTGAATCTACCTCCCGGGACAGATCCTCGCCCCTCACCTGGATGCGCCTCGCCGCGCCCAGCCGCGTCTGCTGCACGAAAGGGTTGCGCACTGGCGGCGGGAAGAAGGACGCCTGGCGGGGCACCATGGGCGGCCGCAGCCCCGCATTCCCGACGCCCGCGCTCGGCACAGAGGCCGCCACAGCCGCCGCCTCCGTGCACCGGTTCATGGCCGAGCCGGGCGCGGGACCAGACAGAAGCGAATCCCCGCCCGGAGCGCACAAGCCAGCGCCACCGCCACAGCTGAGCTGCACAGGACTCCGGGGCCTCTACGCAAGCGCCAAAGTTACCTAGCCGCCGCCTGGTCTTGTCCCGCCCCTTCCGACTCTGACCACGCCCAGACTCTGGCCCCACCCCCTGAGCGCAGCCCCACCCTTTTAGGTGTCTGGCTCTTCCCCTGAGATTAATAGTTAGGCCCTCTTGGAGGTGACAGTTTTTCCTATCGAGCGACGCTTTCCCACCAAGAGACAGTTAAAGTTCCCTGCTTTAGAGTCAGGCCGACCTGAATTTCCTTTCGCTTTCACTGGCTTTTTGACGTTGACTAAATTACTGTCTCCAAGAGCCTTCGTTACCCTCTTCTGTAAAATGGGGATATACCTAACTTAGATAAACAGAACCAGAATTCAGCAATGTGAGGAGCAACCCCTGGGCTGTATTCCATTAATTATCCAGGGCGAGTTTGACTTCTGGTGTATGTTTTGTTTTTGCTTAAATCCGTTTCAGTGGGATGTTTTATCAGTTAGTTACAGCAGAAAGAGTCCTTACTAACATAGAAATTGGTGCCAGGCGTGCAATCTGTTCCACTCAAAATATGGACTGACAGTGGGGGGATGGTTTTTCAAAGGCAAACTGAGCTGCTATTACTAAAAAAAGACAAAACACCATTCATTGCCCTCTGTGCTGGATGAGGAACCTGGCTTTAAAAAGGGAAGTGAACTTCCACTTCATCCTGAGGAAGTTCAAGGGCCTATATGGACCTATATGGGTTGCGGTGGGAAAAAGGGAGGATGTTCCTAGGACCTGAGACCTGCTGGTCAGACCCTGAGTGCCTGAGAGTCAGATGGAGATGGTGAATAACCTATCTTTACTGATCAGCTGCTCACAGCAGGCTGGAGGCACCATGAGATCTGACTCTTGGTCCTGGGACAGCTGCTCCTTCCAACATATCCACCGTAGAATCACAGACTCTTCCAACCCTACCACATTGCTGTGCAGCGTTCAGCTACTCACTTAACCTCTCTGAGCTTGTATACTCATCTCAGAATGAAAGATCAATTCCTACCTCACAGGGTTGTAGTAACAAGTAAAATAATGCATGAATAGTGTTCATAGAAAAGCATCAAGAAATGGCACCTTCTGGGCATTATGTTGTGGAGCAGAATATTCTCAGTATAACAGAGAACCTTAATAACAATGTATTAAGGTCATGGTACAAGCTTCCCCAGCCTCAAGGTCTTCAGGTAGAGGCTGTCAGACCCTTGTGGCTCTTTAGTACATGAGGCAGTCTCTCCAGAGCCCTCAGGGACCTAAGCCATTGGACAGGCCATAGAAGAGAACTCTGGGCCCAAGGTTACCTCCAGACAGACCTGTCCTCTCCTCGTCCCCTTCCCCAAGAGCCCTATCACGAGAGGCCTGAAGCAATAGTCTACCAGAGCCAGAAGGGGCCTCTGAAATAATTCCAGACCTTTAATTTGTTTTGCAGCAGCTCCAGAATTTTTATCTATATGAGGGGATTAAGGATGGGAAGGAGGGGTAAGGAGCTTACCCACTAATAGAAAGCATACACTTCCCTCCCCTAGCTGTGTTTACTTAGGGGACTTCGGGGAAGGTGGAGGGCAATACTGCTGATGGAGATACTCCCCTTTGGCTAAAGCTCCTTCTCTAGGTCGTCTTTGGCCTTGACTCAGGATGTTACCCGATATCTACAGTACCGTGGGCAAATTACTTGTCTCCAGGCCTCAGTTTTCTCATCAATAAAATTTGAGTAATAATGGCCTCTCCCCTTCAGGTTGCTGTAAAGATTAAATAAAGTGATGCATGTGAACTGCCCGGCACACAGTAAGCATTCTGTTAATGGAGCCGGTATTACTGTTGTTCATTGTTATTAGTATTAGAATGCGTGTTGCTGTCAATTATTAAGAATCTGAGACTCAAGAAGGATGGAAACCTTGAACAAGGCCTTGCGATTAAACAGAAAAGCTGCTGTTCGAGGGCTCCTTCCACAGGACAGAGGGACTCCAGCTCACCCACCCCGAGAGTCTCTTGCTGCTTATTTTGGCAGCTCTGACCTTCCCAGATGTCACCTGTTCCCTGCAGGGAGCAGAGACTTAAGACTTTACAAGTTTCTTCTTCTGGCTGGGGTGGGAGCCCCTCTAGGCTCTGCTAAAACAGCCAGCAAACACACGGCCACTCAATTGGTGTCTTTATTCATACTGTTGATGTTTCCCACGGGGAACTGTTGACGGGAGAGGAGGGGAGGGCTGAGCGGGGGCCATGGCTTGATTTTCCTCCATCCAGTGGAGGAAGTAACAGAGGAGGGACATACTAAATAGAACGCACAAGGGAACCATCACTATGTGGACTGAGAGGCATCGTGCAGTGACTTCAGACAACCTGAGCCCTTCTGTCAGGAAATGCAGTTTCAAAGTGGAAAAAGAAAAAAGATCAAAAGAAAAGAACAAAGTGCATCCAAAGCAAACTGCTAATGTAGGGACAGTCCTAAGGCAGCCAGCAGTGAGAAGGCCAGGTGTCTGGGGTGGGGGGGCCACCTGGCCATGCCCTTCTCCCTCAGCCCCATGCCAGGCCAGGCTGTCGGGCCACCAGTGCCCTCTTGAGACAGTCTCTGTTGGATCCCAGGGTGCTGTAAGCCACAGATGGTTGTGGAGGGAGAGGAGCCTGAATGAAGTGTGGCAGCACCAGGGCAGCCCAAGGCAGGGCTGCATTGAGAATATCAAAGCATCTCTTTGGGGGTGGCTCTGGAGGGCTGGTGAAATATGGGAGTGGGGAGGGACACGGGGAGGGGTACAATCAGCACCTTTCCTTGAACACAGGGCAGAGCCACTCTGCGGATTCTTAAATTACCAGGTTGGGGTGAGAATGCTGATTAACTACAGAGCTAGCTGAGGGCTGCCAGGCCCAGCCGGGTCCTTCCCTGGTGCCCAGGGCCCGGTGTGCAGAAAGTGATGGAGAGGCAGGCCCCTGGGGGAGCGGGGCCAGCTCAGCAGCCTAGCCAGTCGGATTTGACGCTTCCGAACTTCACGCTCTTCAGACTTTGGTTCTCCAGCTTCAGGTAATATGCGCCCTTGAAGAAGTAGCTGTGACCTGGGATGAGAAAGAGAAGAGGAATGAGAACGAGAAGAGAAGATATCATGGTACCTGGAAGGTTCCTGAAAGCTTTACGAGTCTGCCTGCCATAGGGAAGAAGCTTTTACATCACAGAAGACCCTTCTGAGGCCAAACGAAGGGAAATAGCTTGGAACTGAGCTGAGTCTCTGCTTCTTCATCTTTAAGATGTGGATAAAGATACCCCCTCTTAGGCCTTGTGGTGAGGATTAAATGAGATGATAGATGCTATTATTAATATAAATTACAGTACTCCACTGAGCCCAAGTACCAAACTAGGCACTTTCTATTTCCAGGAGGCTGCTAGCCCCATCAAGCCCACAGATGGGTTTTATTTAGCTCACACAAGTTTGTTAACAGTTTTGTCTTGTGTTGAGTTCTGAATAAGTTGCCAACATGTAAACATCTGGAAACATCATACGAAAATACAGACTTCTCGCTTTCTTTTGAAAGAGTTAGAATATCAAATAACTGCTCCCCTGTTCTTGTGGGGCAGCGATCATCAGAAACAGAGAAGCAACGGTCCCCTGAAAACGAGCCATGCACTCCGCAGACCCCACCACTCCCTACTGTCTGTTCTGCCTGCTTCACTCATTTATGCTCCCAGCCTGGACCCTATGGACTTCGGAATTTCTTACTTCTGACATATATGATCTCATTTACTTCCTTTAAAATCCATGCACGTTGTACATGTTCAACAGACGTTTATTTCTGAAGATAATCCTTAACCTAACACCTCACCGTATCCTGCTTTTTCTTGGACATGTAAGACCTTTAGCCTCTGGAGGTCAGGGCCATGTGCTTAGCAGAGGATGGGAACTCAAAAAGCATCTGTGTGGAATTTAATTGAAATATCCTCTAAAAAACCAAACTGGACTCATTTCTAGGACCTCCTAGAAGCCTCCTCAGGAATATGGTTTCCAAGCTCCAAATTCTATCCCTCACTGGTACTGGCCACTTTATTCAGTAAGGGACCAGGGACAACTTGAGCTGATGGGAGATCTTTGCCACATCAGCAGCAGGGCATAACAAAGTTTGTCCCGTCTCAAACGGAGCCATCCTTCTGCTAATGAGAGGCGGTCACAAGGCCTCATACAGAACCCAAAAGGGCCTGGATCAAACCCCAGAATGAATCCACGGCACAGAGCCCGTGTTTCTCACCCCCGGCAGGCCTCCCGCCCTCCCTGCTCCCTGGCTCCAGGCCCTGCAGCTGTGAGGGGCCTTTCTGGGTCTTACTGCCTGGAGCCAGCTGAGTGAGCAGAGGTCAGGGGTCTGGATGTCTTCCCAGCACTGGGCTGAAGGGGCTGGTTTGTTTTCCTGGGGATCTGCATGCCACCCCACACAATGAGGGAGTGTGTGCTTGCAAGGAGCGGGGCCCCAGCCGGGGGCGGGGAGTCCTAGAAAGCGGACAGAGGCCTGGGCAGCTCACCACCGCCCTGCAGGTCCACCACGGCATCCAAGTTATCAGGGATGGCGTTCCAGGCGTCTGCAATGAGCTTGGGGAAGCCAGGATCCATTTTCTTCTTCACCTCATTGTATCTGCAAGGAAACAGCCATGGTGAACCAGCCGGCCTCCCTAAAGGCCAGCACCCCCCGATCCCAACGTGGAAGGGAGGGCCCAGCTGAGGGCTCCTGGGTGAGCACAGGAAACCAGACCTAGCCCTTCGGGGAGGCCAACAACTAGAGCCGAGGGGCGGGGAGTGAGACCTGGGTAAATCCAACGTGACTCCTCACTAATCAGGTGACTGGACAGTCCCATAAAAACAATCTTGTGATTACTGCACTTTTTTCTTTTTAACTTTTTGATTCTAAATTGTCTAACTGCCTGTGGGATCTTTTTCTGAATCTATTCTTCATACTGAATGAGTCCTTTGTAAATATTATGGTATCCGTGA